GGGAAGGGGAGGTGGGAATGTGGTTTAGGTCTGTGCGGAATTCTGAGCCATCCAGGTGTCCCCTGAAGCTTGAGCAAGGGCGAGGCGGTCGCTGAGCCCTGGGGAGCCGCGGCCATGCCCCGGGAAGGCGGCAGCTCCGGGTTAAGGGTGTTCACGGCTGGAAAAAGCAACAGGTTGGGTTTGCCACGGTGTTTGGACAAGGTTTCAAGACGAAACCCTCGTCCTGCAAAGCGTTTTGCAGCCTGATCAAACAGCCAGGCAGAGAGCCACACACACACACAGCCCAGGTCCCCTCCTGCGAGAAACTGGAGACCCAAGCGGTGTCCGGCAAGCGACGGATTTATCGCACGCCAGGAACGGGCTGGGACACGCGTGGTGACGGCACAGAAGGGCTGTTGCAGCGATAAAGGTATTAAATTTGCAGGTCTGGCTGCCACCAGATGGAGCTAAAAAATTAAGGAGGAGGAAAAGGGTGTGCGTGGGGCGCCTCCCTCCCCCCTCCGCAGCTGCATTAGAAGCCGATGGCTGCTGAGGTTTGGCCCCCAGCACCCTCTGCTGGGTTTTGGCTTTTCTCCGAGTTGTTGCTTGCTTTCTAAAAGTAGACAGAGTTGGGGGCGGGAGGCGGGGGGGGAGCCCCGATTTTCTCACCTTCTCCCAGCATCTCAGCCTGCAGGGGCGCAGCACAGCTGCCCCCCAAAATCAGGGCTGCTACAGGGTCTTCCCCAAATCCATCCCGCAAAGGCAGGGCTGCCCCAGTCTTTTCCAACCCCCCCGGGGGGTGGGCATTGCAAATATTGTTGGCAAAGGCAGTCGCCTGCTCTGGTTTCAGCCTGGCATGTGCCCCTTCTGCGGCTTCAACTGGACCGAGTGGCATTTGAGAACAGCGTCAGGCTAACGCGATGCCGTTGAGCTGCATGGTTTCCTTCTATTTTTAAGGTCCCACGTTGGCCTTTGAAGGGCGAGGGAGAAGCAAAGCTGCTGAAGATTAAGAAAAAAAAAAAAAAAACAACACCCAAAACCCAACCAAATTCCCCAAACAGCAAGAGGCAGGCAATGAAAGGAAGTATTTCTCATGTCAGGGGTGCTGCCAAAGCTCCTCCCGGGGTCCTCCGAGGGCGGCAGGGTGGCACGAGGGCCACTGCAAGGGCCGAGAGTGAGTGGAAAGCACTGGCTATATTTTTTTTTTTGCCCAAGTACGTGAGTTAATGAACAGCCAAACCGCGGGGGAGCAGGGGAGGGGACGTCCACCCCCCCATGGGGGTTGGTGCCACGGGAGGTGGGTGCTTGCCCCTCCCCATAGCAAGGCCCATGGAAGGGGGGGAGGGACAATTAGGGAGGGGTATGGTATATGAGGAGCCCCTTTGCTTGCCCCACGTCTGTTGCCCAGTGAACCCCTTGCTGCCCCATCACAGCGGGCAGCCCGGTGACCTGAGGCATGGGAAATCAGCTGGCACCAGCAGTGGGGAAGGAAAGAGCACAAAAATAAACATGCTGGGCTGTCAGATGGTTTTCCTAAACATGGCTGGGTGCCACGACGGGGCAAGAAAGGCCCCGCAAACACCAAGCACCCAAAACAACCGAGGCGCTGCCGAGGTCTCTGCTCCTGGCCATGCCACGACGCTGCCTGGGAGCACAGTCTGGAGGCACCAGGCTCTCCCTGGTTTGTTTTTTCTTTTTCCCTTTTTTTGGCCCCCAGCAGAGCAGCAGCCTGAGTCTGTGAGCCCTTACAGACATTCAGAAAAAAACGCCTTTAATTCAGCAGGGATTTTCAGGCAGTTTTGCTCCGCCGGACAGGGAGCCACCGGCATCGGGGCAGCCGCTCACCGATGCTGCGGTCCCTGCTGTAAATCCAGGCTGCCTTGCAGCAACGTGGGGATGAGCTTGACCTCCAGGCAGCATCCAGAAATGGCATGGAGGAGCATCAATGTGCTGGTGGCATCGCAGCTCACCCGGAGCTGGGTCAGGTTGGGGAAAGTGCCCAGGGCCACCAGGATTTGTGCCTTTGCTCTGCCACAGCCTCCCCCGCGTGCCTGGGAACCCTTGCTGGGTTTGTCCCTCTGCCATCACGGGACCAACGAGCACATATGGCAATATTGACTTTACCCTTGCGTGTCCCTATTTTAATCTGCAGCCGCTGAGGCTGCAGGCTTGGAAATGGTATTCATCTCTCCAAAATCTGGAGTTTCTTCTGGGAACCAGCAGCAGATGAGGCCCCTCTGCTCCCCCGAGGCCTCCCAAAGGGGGATTCCCAAATGGGAAGACCTCAGAGCAGTGTTTGCTGGTATGAGCCCGCGCCACAGCCACCCTTCCCAGCTCACTGACCACACAGCACACCTCATCTTACTCAGAAAGGATTTCTTTTTTGCCCGCTTTTCCTGTGTTTTGTGATGTTTAGAGGCTGCCACGTGCCTCCTGTGATACACAAGCCACAGGCGTGTAGGCGCAGCCCCCCCAGCAGTGCCCAGCACCAGCGGTTTGCTGCCCAGCTGGAAGTCATGTCAGATCAGTCGTGGGTGCTGGTGTGCTGCTGCGGACATGGAGGTCACCCCCAGGGTGCTGGCAGCCTTGGGGATCCAAACCGTGCAGCCAAGGCTGCTGGCCCTGGGGAACCCCCCCCAGCCATTCCCTTTGGATGCACAGGGGGAGCAGAGGTCCCAGTGCTGCCCCGGCCCCTCCTAGGGACAGGGGACACACAGCCCCGCTGCCCTGGTGATAAGGACTGCTGCCTGGAGACGCAGAGCTTGGGGCAAAGCTTACACAAATATTTTTCCCCTACCAGAAACAAGGAGCGAAGCCTGAAGTGACCCTGGATGCTTCTGCAGCGTGGACAAAAACCAAGAGCAGCCACCTCCGCCCCAGCCGCTACCCGGG